TGTCAAAGAAGAGGAAATTGATTTATTGATTGTTGCAATTTATGTGGATGATTTTCTCATCATTAGTAGCAATGAGAAGTTGATCCAGCAGTTCAAAGTTGAAATGAAGGAATTTTGAAATGAATGACTTAGGGAAAATGTCCTACTTTCTTGGAATGGAAATTAGTCAGACTAGTCAAGGTATATTTTTATGTCAGAAGAAATATGCTAATGAGATTCTGAATCAGTTTGCAATGGCTAATTGCAAAACAGTCAGCACATCTATGGTTCCTTGTGAGAAGTTAAGAAGTGATGATGTCGCAGCTAAAATTGATGCAGGAGTTTACCGGAGTTTAATTGGGAGAGTGTTATATTTATCAGCAACTAGACCTGATATAATGCATTTAGTAAGCCTTTTGTCTAGGTTTATGCATTCTCCCAGTGAAATACACCTCAAGGCAGCCAAAAGGATCTTGAGGTATGTGAAAGGAACAATTGATTTTGGTGTTCTTTATAAAAGTTCAACAAATGTGAAGCTAATTAGATTCACAGATAGTGATTGGGCTGGTTTAAAGGAAGATATGAAAAGCACCTCAGGACAATGTTTTTCTATTGGTTCAGGGATGATTGGTTGGAGTTCTAAGAAGCAAAACTCGATTGCCAAGTCAACAACAGAAGCTGAGTACATTGTTGCTTCTCTTGCTGCAGATCAAGTTGTGTGGTTCAAGAAACTGATGAATGATTTAAAACAACCTCAGATATATCCTACTGAGTTGTTTTGTGATAATTTATCTGCTGTTGCAATTGTTAAGAATCATGTTCTTCATGGCAGAACCAAGCATATCAAGATCAAATATCATTCTATCAGGGAGGTAGTTAGGGAAGGTGAAGTTCAAGTTTTGCATTGTAATTCAGATGACCAAATTACTGATATATTCACTTAAGGATTGCATAAGTGCATATTTGAGACACTAAGAGACAAGCTCGGGATGAGCAGCATTAATGTTAAGGAGGAGTGAAAACAGCAATGCAAGAAATGGATGTTGACATTGACACAAATGTTGTCATGTTAGTTTACAGTTTGTAACAGTTGTTTAGTTGTTTTTGATCAGTTTGTTTTTTATGACTGTAGTGCAGTTAACTTTCAGTTTTTATCAGTTTGTATCAGTTTGTTTTATTTCCTTGTAAATAGCAGATTTGTTCAATGAAAATTTTAGTTCTGCACTTACCAGATCTTCATCTCTTTGTTCAAGAACTAATAGGAAGGACTCAAAATCGATGATAGAAAAATTAGGTCTAGTTTTGGCCTTTTTTTTTTTTTTTTGTTTCTTTCTTGAGCTCCTTCCTCTTCTTTTCTCCTTATTACCCCTTCTTTTAAACGCTTCACCAACGGCCAACATTAACGATGAATGTTAAACATGATAGGAAGAAATGGAATATCTTCATATTACA